AAAAAAAAAAAAAACATCGATATTATGATGAGATTTTAGAAATCAGAAAGATAATTCTATAAGAAGGATAAATATTTATCTGATTTTATGTCTTAAAAAGAAATCTTTTGATGAAAACTAAATAGAGTAGTTCAAAAAAAAAAGGAGAGGGGGGGCTTTCGGATTGAATAACTGAAATGTTTTAGATTTCATAGAGAAATTATCCGGATTGAAAATATTAAATTTTCAAAAAAGTAGATACTCTTGTATTTTAGACTTTTTGAAAAGTAAACATTTTGAATTATTCAAATTTTATAATTAATATAGTTTAAAAAAAATTTTTTCATGAAATAAAATATTCTTTATTTAGGTTTACTGTTTAATGGATATGATCGAGAAAATTATAGTCGTATTAGTCCATTAGCTCGTCAATATGTTTTTAATAAACTTGAACGACGTTTTCAATATGATGTTATTGAACGTCCTGATACAGTTGATTTTGATAGTTCTAATATTGATACATGGTCATCATTATGTAATCAATTATCAAATGGTATAATGTCAATAATTGGTCATGTTGAACATAGTGATTTTGAATGGTTATCAAGTTTTTGTTCAACTTATCAAGTTCCATTTATTGGTTTAGATAATTATGATTATAGAAAAACAAATTATTATATATCATTAATGCCTGATATATTACCAGCATTAGTTTCTCTAATACGTCGTTATCGAATCAAACAACTTGTTTATTTATATGATGATACAAATGGTGCTCATCGTCTTAAACAATTAATTGGAATGCAAACAAAAACAACACTACAAAATTTAAATATAATTAGTCGTTATTTAGGAAATCCAGATGATTCATATGATTTATTACAAAATATTGAATTTATGACTAATTCACTATTACGTACAACATCATCATCAACAACAACAAATACAAATCAAACAATTCAAGGTCGTTATGTTGTTTTAGATTTTCATTCATTTGATACATATAGTAGAATTATGGAAAAAATCAAACATCGTGGTATGACAACAGCTGATTATCATTATATATTACTTACATTAAATGCTAAACAACTTGATATGACTTATTTTCGTTATGGTGGTGTTAATGTAACATTTTTTTCTTTACCATCATATGAACATTTTAATGATAATTATACATTATTATTATATAATAATTATATTAATTCAATAAAAAATACTAAAATAAGAAATATTCCATCTGTTGAATCATTATTAATTGTTGATGCATGGGAAACATTATTACGTACAATAAATCGTATGTTAAGTTCATCAAATGAAATACGTGAAAAATTAAAAGTATTTCGACAAGGTACATTTTATAATGATTTAACACCGGGTATTGATTGTCGAAGTAATTTTATTGTACCATGGTCAGCAGGAAAAATCTATTTAGAAAATTTATTAAATACAACATTTCATGGTTTAACTGGAAATGTACAATTTTCAAATAAAACAGGTCAAAGAATAAATTATACATTTGAAGTTTATCGTGTTACAAGAAATGATATGCCAAAACATATTGGATTTTTTCGTGCACCAACTACACTTGAGGTATAATTATTTTATTGGGGTAAATATAAACTAATACCTAAAAATATAGGAATCTGTATCTAATTTTAAAATAAATCTATATCTAATATTGGAGGAATTTATATCTAATTAAGAAAATAATATATCTAATTTTAAAATTTATTTATATCTAATTTATTAAGTAACATTACCTAACAACACAAAGTTATATCTAATTAATAATTAAAGTAACAGAAAAAAATAAAGATACAATTATCAATTATAACAAAAAAAACACAGCAAAAAGAAGAAAACTATTGCACAATTAATGCTTTTTTAGCTCATCCAGTAAAGCAAATCAACATGTAAATTTTGAGTAGTTTTTATTTTTTTATTTTTTTTTAAATTATTTTTAGTGTTTTTGTTTTTTTTCTTTTTGAATTTGTCAAAGAGATATGTAGAATAACAATCGCTTGAAAAAGAAACATTCGAAAGGCTTTGCCTGAATAATATAAAAATATTACTTGTCTATTTTTTTTTTGTTTATTTATTTATTGATTTATTATATCTATTTATCTGTTCTCTCTTATTATTCTTTATTTTTCTCTCCTTTTTTTCTTGTTATTCTACATATCTCTTTGACAAATTTAAAAAGAAAAAAAACAAAAACACCAAAAATAATTTAAAAATAAAAAAATAAAAACTACTCAAAATTTACATGTTGATTTGTTTTATTGAATATATTTTTTAAACTAACTTCTTTCTTATCACTTATTGTCATTCATAGCTCATATATACTCTTTCAATTAATTGATAAGTACTAATCAATTATAGATTACGTTCAAATTAATTAGATAATTTGATAAATTGATTGATAGTCATTTGTTAAAAGTGATACTAAATTAAATTAAAAGACAGAGCATTTTTTAATTCAGAAATTTAATTGATTTAAAAGATGTCTAATTAAAAAATTAGATTAAACAATTTTTTTTAAAGTATTCTTTCACCGAAATAGATACTACTGTATTAAGTTAGGAAATATTCATATAATTTAGATACAGATTGCTATATTTTTAGGTATTACATTAAATGCATGCCTATTTTATTTAGATGTATAGAATTCGACAAAAAAAAAATATAATGATGTATTCTGACTTATGATTATTCGATTAAGATTACAATTAATGATAGAGGAAATGTTATTTATTAATAAAATCAACATTTCCTTGTCGGAGTGTAACTATAAGGACACTAGAGAAAAAAAAATGTCCTTATATAATGAAAGTTTAAGACATATATATATATATATAAAATTTCCTAAGATAGCATTTAGATTATTAAAATCAAGTTTTTTTTTTTTTTTGATTTGTTCATTGCCTAAAAACTACTCTCATAATTGACATTTTAATTGCTACAATACTTTCTTCTTGAAAGAATATCTCATATTCGACAATTGAATCAAATCTAAAGTCTTCTCTTATGTTTCGATTATGAATATATCCCTTAAGAACATTTATTCATAGAACAAGTATCAAATGAGATTTTTTTATTTTTTTATTTTTTATTTTCATATATATATATAGGTTACTGATGATTCATCATATCGTTTTCGTGTGTCTTATGATAATCGAACACGTTTAGTTGTAACTATATTTGATGAACCATTTATGATGTTAAAAAAAAATCATGATAATACATTAACAGAGAAAAGTGTTCCACGTAATACTATTCTTGAGCCATCACAAGTTGAAGGTTTTTGTGTTGATTTAGCTCGTGCTGTATTTCGTGATAAATTAAAATTACCATATAAATTTCTTATTGAAACAAACTATGGAAATGAAATTGAAAAAGGTGTTTGGAATGGTATGATTGGAGCATTAGTTAATCGTGATGCTGATTTAGCAATAGCATCATTAACAATAAATGGTGCACGAGAAAAAGCAGTCGATTTTTCTAAACCATTTATTGATTTAGGTATATCAATAATGATAAGTAAACCTGAAAAACAAAAACCTGGTGTTTTTTCATTTATGGCACCATTATCAAAAGGAATTTGGATTTGTGTTATTGTATCTTATTTACTTGTTAGTGCTATTTTAGTTCTTGTTAGTCGTACATCATCATATGAATGGTATTTTGAAAATGAATCTGATATTATTCCACGAAATAAATTTTCAATACAAAATGCATTATTTTTTTCATTTGCAGCTTTTATGCATCAAGGTGTTGATCTTTTACCAAGGTCATTTTCAGGTTTGTAGAACGTTTCTTTTTTTTCTTTTACTTATTAATTAATATAATTTTTTGAAAATTAATATTTTATATGTAAATCTCATGATAATACATAAATTAAGTGACAATATTTTTTGCACTCGATTGTTGATCTTTTTTTTTGTGAAATACGATCTAAAAGAAGTATTGAAACATAGAAGTAGAAATTTAGAATCTTTCCTACAGACATGCGAGGAGTGGTTGATCACGGGGGGGGGGGGGGGGATGATAGATATAAGATTAAAGATCGTGTATCAATAACATCTTGTTCGAATTAATTACATTTCTACAG